AGCCAATTCGCCACCCACTGGACTGTGTAGTCATCCAAGTCACAGCCTCTTAACTTGTTCACCTGTATGGGGTGGGATACCGTATCGAAGGCCTTCCTGAAGTCTAAGTATACGACATCCACCCCTCCTCCTGTGTCCAGGCGTTTCGTAACCTGGTCATAAAAAGAAACTAGATTGGTCAGGCACGATCTGCCTGCCACGAACCCGTGCTGGTTTCCCCTCATCATAATTTGTCCTGCCGGGCTCTCACAAATGTGAGCCTTGATAATTTTTTCAAAGACTTTGCCAAGGATGGAGGTGAGACTGACTGGCCTATAGTTGCCCAGGTCCTCCTTCCTCCCCTTTTTGAAAATGGGGACCATGTTGGCCCTTTTCCAGTCCTCCGGGACTTGGCCCGTGCGCCACGAGCTTTCAAATATTCCCGCCAGTGGCTCTGCAATGATGTCGGCCAGTGCCTTCAGCACCCTCGGATGGAGCTCATCCGGGCCTGCCGACTTAAAGGCATCCAGTTCTTCCAAGTGACTCTGCACCATCTCAGGGTCTACGCATGGAAGTCTGGCGCCTTGCTGCTGCCTCTCTACAACCCCAGTGAGAGACTTGTCGTGCCCCTCACTTAGGAACACTGAGGCAAAGAACTCGTTGAGGAGTTCAGCCTTGTCCCCTCTGTCTGTCACCAATTGTTTCTGCCCATCTCCGTTCTTGACAACTCCAAGAAAGCATAAATTGTGTATGGACTTGGCAGAATTATATTTTTATTTATTTATTTTTATTTGAACCACCTGAAACCAATTTTTATTTTAAGCATTTATTTAGATTTTTATCCAGTGAAATTTTTAGGATTGTGTGAAATTAGGGGTGGGTTTTCTTTTTTATCAATTTAGCGCATGTATGTGTGGTGGCTGCTGCAGGAGTTAGGGACTGTGCCGTAAGATTGTTCCAGGAGCAGGGGTTGGAGGGACAGGGCTGGTAGTGCCCAGGAGCTCGGTGCTGCTGGCTGCTTGTTCTGCCTAGCCAGGGCAGGAGCCAAACTCTTGGTCCCCTACCCTGATCACGCAGGGGCAAGGCCAGGCTCTGCGGGCATTTGGCCCTTGCCCCAGCTGGGACCTAGGCAGAGCAAACAGCTGGTGGCACTGGGCTCCCCACTGCTACCAAGCCTGGCGCTCTAGCCCCCCTCCCAGCATAGCCTTGCCAGCACAGTCTCCACCTCCTGCAGTGACCACCATGCGTGTATGTGTAGCATGTGTGTGCACGTGTGTGCCTGCCTGCAGCATCCCCTGCCCCAGATTTCCTTACCTTCTTTCCAGATTTATTTTTAAGTCTCTTCAATGTAAATGTCAATGATCATTGGTGTAAATATTTTTCCATTGGTCTCTGAGTATCAGGTGAAATCAATGCATCAACGTCTATTGATTAAAAATCAAATCTTGCCAAGCCTTGTCATCTACCATGCCCCAAGGTCCATGAGACTGTTCTTAAAAATATATATATATATTTATTAAATTGAAAATCATAGTTTTCAGATCTTTGAGTCTGTTCTGGCTGTTTTCTTTAGTCATGAAAATTAGATTTTTTTTTTTTTTGAGGGATTTTTAACTTTTCATCTAAAATACCTCCAGGAACTACAGCTTTAAGAAAAGCCAGCAGGGTGAGAGTTGGCGATGGTGAGAGCATGGTTCCATATAATCAACTTACTGTGGAGTGTAAGGAGGCAGCAGGGCTTTCTCTTGTCACTTTCTCTTATCACTTGCATGGTAGTATATGCAGATGTGCATGCTCTTACCTGTGGTAAGTGGAAGACAGCTTGTAGTAGCTTAGACCTTTATGACAGTGGGCTAAGTCACCATGGGTTAATTAATCATGGAAAATAGAGCAGACCAGCTGTTGCAAAGGCAGTCCCTGTTGCCCCCTTACAGCCTGCAGTAACTTGCCGCTTTGTCTACAGTTAATTTTTATGAGAACTAATAGAATTTTTATTTGCAGGTTTTTAAGTGGCTTTTTGTACAGTCATGGTTTGTTTGCTGGTATGGCATTCAACAGTGCATTCTAACAAGTGTTTAGAGGCATGTGTTTACATAGAAATAATGTGTGATTTTATCTAGCTGTAACAATTTTAGGGTTTGCATTTATTCAGTTGAATAAAAATGAGATCAAAATCTTGTTCTGTGAAGATGGTAATAAATTGTGGTGGGGACATTGATGTCTTGTGAACAGGTCAGGCACAAGCAGTCTTTCAGCTGGCTGAAGAGATTGGTCGTACCCATGTTCAAACACTAATCAAGTGTTTTGCCAGCACTTTTGAGGAAGTAAAAATTTTAGCATTTGAACTTCTGAGGAAACTACACAAAGCTACAGTAAATTTACAGGTACAGAAGTTTCTCAGTTCAAAGATAACAATTCTTTTTTAAAAAAAAAACAGCTTTCCATTTTAATTTTTCTTTCAACAAAAGTTTACTCACTGAGTGGAGAAAGTTGTTGATCTACGTGTTTTGGCTAAACTACAAGTTATCTGTATGCCGTATGCATCACTTCTCTCACTAATGTCAGTTGAATAAAATACTCTCTATTTCCTGCTCGAAAGTATTATTTTGCTGTATGTTGTTATAGCCTTTGTCTCCACCCCAGAGGTGGTTTGTCATGTATGAAGTGAATTTTCTTTCAAACTGTCCCTTTTTTTTTTTTTACCTGATATTGGTTTGTTATTGTATTTTTTGACATTTATTACATTTATTAAACTTGTACACAATAATTGCTTCCCGATAAGCATTTCTTTGCTGTACATTATGTGCTGTGCTGTTCTACAGCAGTCCACTTAATGCTTTTTCTATGTAAAGTCTATTACTAGTTACAGTACAGAAGTACATATTTCATTTTTCCAAATGCCCTGAGGTGTGTTGTGTCCAAACACTGCTGTATAAATAAAGGGCTCTATCTTTACTACTTTTGTAGGTGTGCATTTGCTGAACATTTAGCAACAAATGTGCTGTGTCAGTTTCTGCTCTGCTTCTGTAATAAGCAGCAAGAAAAATCAATGCTCGTTAGCAAACATTCACTGGCAAAGTCACTAAAATAAGATCCAAAATAATTAGCAGTGTTGATATAATATTGTGGTTCGCAATGCACATTACTAACTCTACTTATTCTTATATCAGGATTCCGGAGACATACATCACTTATTTCAAGCATCAATGGATCTTAGCACAAGTACCAAGCCATATGACTCTGTAACTGCTTCGTATTTGCTGAACTTTTTAATACACCGTAAAGAACTGCTTAATAGCTGCCTGAAAGATCAGCCTGTTGTCCATAATTTTTTGAAAAAAGAATATATCTCAGCAGGCACTGTGGAAACTAACACGTTAGCTGGTAAGTTCTAAGGAAACGAAATTTTGAATTTGTATGTTTAAAAACAGGAGGGTTCCTGGTTTCTACCAGGATGTTATCGTGGGCTTATTTGAAGGAAGAAGTCTACCTGTTTTCTTTGGCAGTTTGCTTAGGTTTAGGTATTGCATTTGTATAAATTTGGCTAACAACTCTGCAAAGGCTGGAAGCCCTTGTAGGTCATCCCTTGGTGCAGCACACCATATCCCAGCTCTGTGGAAAATGTGCGAGGAGCGAGGGTTACATGAGCGCTTCACACTGTTGTCTCCTCCCAGGTCACAGCTGTCACAAAGGCCTGGCCCTGCTTTTGCAACTAACAAGTTCTGTCCTGTCACAGTTCACATGATCCAGCCTGATGGGATCCCCACCCCAAATCTGTATTGGATAACCAAAATCTGCTCCCATTCTGCTGCTGCACCAGATGTAGCCAGTATGTCGAATGTCCAATTGGCATACTGCAAAGTTGTCCTACTGGCAAACCTCTGACAGCCTTCTTAGTCAGCTTCTCACAATGTGGGTAGGTACAACTCTTTCTTGAAGAGCTTAAAAGTCTACAGCCCCCTTCTCTAGTCTCAGTCCAAAATTTACAAACCTGGGAGCCCAGAAGCACCTATAGTCATATTTTGATTCCTACAATTTGTAGTCTGATTTTTCTTCAGTGGAGCCAGCACCAGCAGATGCTTTTGAAATCCTACTGAATTTGTTAGATGCCTCCTGATTGCCACTCTACCTTTAAAAGACAGGCCTGGAACAGGGGCTTGATCCCTCTCTTATCTGCCTCAGATCTCACGATTTTAATCCCCCCCCATCCCACCCAGCCCCTGAACTTAAAGTCTCTTGAGTACATTCAGTTGAGAGGGTTGAATTTCTTTTTTCACTTTTGGTTTATAAGTTTGGGGTAAAACTTTAGAACTAGGTACTCATTTCAGTCCATACAGATGTCAGTAAGCAGTCTGCTGCACAGAAAGTAAGGGTAAATGTGGCCTTCATGCCATATGATATTTTGAATTTTTTTTGCTTAGTACTTTATAATTTTTTTCAGTATCACTTCTAGGCCTCAGTGATGTGTCTGTCTCTTCTCTCCCTCTTCCCTTGCTCTTCTTTTTGTTTCCTGCTTCCTTTCTTGCAGGAATTCTTTTTTTTTCTTCAGGTCACTGTTAGTGTACATATCCTTCCTGGAGGTAGCCTCAGAGACATTGCCGTAGCAGTTAGGGCAGACCATAGTTATGTGACATTACCATCATGACGAAGGGGGCTGGTCATCTTCTTGTAGTCAGTGTCTTGTGTGCGGGCCGGGCCCTTTTTTGTGCTGCACGCAGGCTGTGGCGAGCAGCCCGGGCACGCAGGGTCAGAGAGAGGGGTGCGTCAAGCTAGAATTAGGCACGGACTCATAGATTTCATAGACATCAGGTCTGGAAGGGACCTCGGAAGATCATCGAGTCCAGCCCCCCGCCCAAAGGGCAGGAAGTCAGCTGGGGTCATAGGATCCCAGCAAGATAAGCATCCAGTTTCATCTTGAAGGTGTTCAATGAAGGCGCTTGAACCACCTCCGGTGGCAGGCTGTTCCAGACTTTGGGGGCTCGGACAGTAAAGAAGTTCTTCCTTATGTCCAGCCTGAAACGATCTTGAAGTAGTTTGGGACCATTTGACCTCGTCATCCCTTGGGGCGCTCTGGTGAACAAACGTTCCCCCAGATGCTGGTGATAAACTTGATAGGTGTAACCTGATAAACTTGTAGGTGGCCATCAGATCACCCCTGAGCCTGCGCTTTTTCAGGCTAAAGAGCCCCAGGGCTCTCAGCCTGTCATTGTAGGGTCTGCTTCCCTGACCTCTGATCATGCGCGTGGCTCTTCTCTGGACTCTCTCAAGCTTCTCCACGTTGGGGCTGGTCCTGCTTTGAGCAAGGGGTTGGACTAGATGACCTTGTGAGGTTCCTTCCAAACCTAATTTTCTATGATTCATAACTACAGAACCTGGTGGAGAGATGAATGTGATCTGTATGATGCAGCTTAGGTATGCTACTGATTGTCATTGACTTTCTCACACTTCCAGTGAACACTTGGGGCTACTTTGTACTTCCTTTTCAGGCAGAATTCCTGTGGACGTCAAAGCCGGAATTTTATGGTATAAAGAACAAGCAAGTCAGAAATGGGCCCTTGAGAATCTTGTTAACAGAACTTAGCAAAGCCATATAAAATGTGGCAGGTAACGTGTTTTTAAAAGCAACCCCCTATTTTAAGTTAAGTAAGCTCTATTTCTCAGAAGACTACATGATCAGGAAACCAAGAGAAGAAATGTATGCATTTAATTTGGTATCAATTGCAAATACTAAGAGGTCAAAGCTGGAAATTAAGATGAAGTAAATTAAATGTGACAGGTTTTGCATTAAACTTCTAAAGTAAAAGGCCCAAGCTTTCAGAAGTGACAGGTGATTTTGGGCATCTCAGTTTCTGGATGCTCAGCTTGCAAACATCTGAAAAGATCCTTATCTAAAGTATTGCCAAGTTCCTGCCTTCTGACAATATTAGGTCTGGAGGTGGTAGGGGGACAGGGAAAAATTGTCCTTCCAAAAGTACAGTGTTGAATGCAAGACATTTAGCAGCGATCAGTTACTCAGTGCAAGTATACACATATGTAAAAAACCAGGTATATGCAGAAGTATATACCAGTGTAAGTCTAGACACCTGTATTACATTCTTCCTTCCAATCTGCAGTTTTTCTTACGAATGAAAACAATGTATGGAATTGTAACCGTATCACCCTATCATAGTCTCTGAAAATGTAGGAATACATGCGAGACTGCTGCATTTCAGCCTTTTAAATGTTTAAGGAATTCTTTATATAAATGTATGTATGTATATGTATATATATATATATGCAAGTCATACTGGGGTCAGTAATATCAAGAACCGTCTTAGAATGTGACTGTAGAGCTATGCAAAATAGAGAGCCTTTGCTTTGACTATTCATGTAAAATACTTATGAATTGGACAAAAATAGTGAATATAATTCAATGAGAAATGATATTTTCCAATAACACGTTGTTGTTGTTGTTGTAAGCATGGCAAAAACCATTAATTTTTTTTCTTAAATTCAGCTTATAGCATTAGGTCACTATTCTCACTTCTGATGAACATTTGGTATTTGTGCTCATTATGCAAAGCCCTCTTTCCTCCCTTCCTCCTGCTGTTTTGGCAGCCTGAACCTCAAATGAGTCCTAAGTCTGAGGCTTTTCAAGCTGCCTAAAGAAACTGGATGCAATTACCATTGAAAATCTTAATTACAATGGTTGTAAATCAGCATCCAGATATTTAAGGGTGAAATATTCAAAGATAACTTTGCCTTTAGGGGTGTTTCATATTTCTAGATATCTCTGTTTACACTTCACTACTTCTGCTGTGATATACAAACAAGAAAAAGGTAATGATATGTTTGTTTGAGCTTGTTGGACTCTTTTACCAGGTTGTTAGTGTGCGGGCCGGGCGCGAGCCGGGCCCTTTTTCGTGCTGCACGCGGGCTATGGCCAGCAGCCCAGGCACGCAGGGTCCGAGAGAGGGTCGCGACAAGCTAGAATTAGGCACAGACTCGTAGCGGTAGTTTTAAAGATTGTTTACTTACACCAAAGATGGTCGTGGTGTAGGCTGGAAAACTTGCTTGAGTTGCGGTTACAGACAAAGACAACACGGACGGTCACGTGGAGTTTGCTAGGCTCCACGGAAACAGAGCTCCGGATGCTCTGGGTGAGCGCGCCACCAAAATCGAACTCGTAGATACGTCTTATAATTTTTATCGCTCGAAGACGGGAAGAGGTGGGCGATGGATCAAGTCGCCAAGCTCCTCTGAATCTCACACAGGGGTCTTTACTTCCCTGCCGTGTACCCAGAGTCCCCACGAGAAGGATGTGGAATCCTCTTCGGCTTGGGCGGAAACCGCTCAAGCCTCTTATACGGCTAACAGGCCAATCATTAGCTGCCACGTGGGAATAATTTAGAACTAGCCAATAGTGGGACACAAATTTGCATGCGGGTGGCGGGAACTCTTTTGCACCGTGCATTTCTCTTGCAACTTGAGCAATGCACCCTGCAAAAGAAGCTGCAAATAGGCGGGAAACTCGTCCCTGCACCGGAGTTTTCCTCCACAGCGGAAAACTCCACTGTGCAATGAAGCTGCAACCTGGCAGGGATAATTCTGGTGCCGAAGCACACGCAAAATCATACCTTTGGGTTATGACATCTTGTAACTGCTTAATTTCTATGGTAGAGGAATGAGGCTGCTTTTTCTTCTTAAGCTTTCTGAAATGTACTTATTAGGGCTTTCCCCCTCTCTCTAAGGCTTAAGCTGTGTTCATCTTGCATCCAGTAATGTCACTCATTAGCTTTGGCACTGTAGCATGCTCCGAGTCAGCTATTTGTCTAGTTCCCTAGATTGGGAGGATTCTCTGGATCCCGGGTTTAAGACTGAGAGATCTTCAGAAGGCCAACCTGTCCTTGTCCTCCTCCGTGGTTAAGACTTGTACTACCTTTGCTCTGTCAGATGTATGATCTCAAGGTTTTTCAGCATCTGACGCACTGTGTAGGACAGCCCCTTTCAAATGTGGAGTAAGTCTTTAAGCCGCATTTTCAGACTCTTCTTGCCACGTGGCTCTCCTTGCCATGTAAAATTTCTGCGTATATGAGTGTATATGTGTAGACACCATATTAGCCCTTATAGCATAGTACTAGCAAGGACTTCACTGCAAATGGCCATGGCCCTAGGTGCTGGTGATACTACCTAGGTTAAAGAAAGATTGTGTCATTTTCTTAATCTCTCAGCCTGAACACTGGATGACTCTGAGAGAGAGACAGGCAAGGTTTTTTGGGTAGATGTGATATCTTTTATTAGACCAACTGAGTAGTTGGAAAAAGTTCTTTGCAAGCATAGGGAGTCTCTGCCGTCCTGAGACTCCAAGGAATGAAAGAAGCTAAAAGTGTGACAGGATGTCAGTGAGAATTAAGTTAGGAAAACGAAAGGTAGAGAAGGGAAGGGAGGGGGGAAACAAGGGGAAAATGCCATAAAGGAGACGCTACTGTACATGAGTTCTCCAAGGTAGAAAAGAGGCAGTCTGTGAAAAAGTAAATAGCTGGAAATTAGGAAGACAAAGGGTAGAAAAGGAGGGGAGGGGAGGAAGCGGGCGGGGGAAGAAAAGTAGAGAAGTGCCTTTCCCTTATAATTAATATCCTTATACACGGCAGAAAGGATTCCACAAGACATACTGATCCAGATAAGCAGACCATAGTATATAGCTGTTGGTAGGCAAGGACCCCTGAGTGATCTCTTATTTTTGCTATACAAGACTATTTGCTGAAGCGCTGCTCTGCACATCTGTCTGTCCGCTCAGGCAGAGTACACCTGGTGGCCGGTCAGGCCCTACCATTTTGTATGATGGGCAACATGTGTTTTCCCGCCAAGGAGAAATTGTGTTCTGTAATAGGACGTAAGCTTGTCCTCATGTCTCTGATGGGGCCATCACTCAAACTCACAGTAACATGCCCTCTGTTCCACCTTTCCACAAAAATAGCCTTCCTGCCTACACAGGGCTTTGTAGTTAAAAAAAGTCCCATTAGAGATTCAGCCTAAGTTTCTAAGGCAGTTACTGAATTCCATTTCACCCAACAAATCAATGTGCTCGTGTTTTTTTCCAGACCTCATTCTTTCTCAGCTGAGATGTCTCTATCTTCATTTGATGTGAGAAAGGCTCAGCCTGTTCATCTGCACAGAATTCTTTTAGAAAATCATCACAACTATTTGTTTCTTTACCTCAGAGATCTAAAGATATAGCTATGTCAGCATGAAGACTGTCTCATGGGAGAGTTTAACATAGTTTGTGTTATGATACTGCTGTGCAGAGCTACCCTCTGTGGTCCTTCCATCTTTGTATCGGAGCCCAGGCACCCCGATAGCATCCCAGCTCAGTGGTTCTATAACAGGGCAGCCACTTTGAGTTCAATATATCCTTTTACCATGTGCTGAACAATCACAGGTTCCTTGGCAAATACTGTACTTCGTGGCCCTTTGGCCACTGTTAGTCTAGGGTAGGGGTGTCAGACATGAGGCCTCTGGGCATGGATTGTCCGGCTCCTGACAGACCAGGAAATTCAGGGGTGGGGCTAGTGGAGGCTACAGAATCTGGACATCTTGTTGGACATGGCTGTTGGCAGGGGGGTGAGTGAGGGCTGTGCTAACACAGCCCTTCAGTCTGCCACTGCTGCCTCTGCTGCTACTTGCCCTGCCACTGCCTTTGCTGCTGTCAGTTCCAGGTCTGGCTCATTAAGAGCCGGCTCAGGGCATGGGACGAGTTTGACATCTATGGTCTAGGGGACTCCAAGATTCATCTCTAGGGATGTGCTCATTCCCTTGGTGTCAGTAAAAGTGAGGATATGTGTATGGGGCATCACTGAAAGGAGAGAGAGAACTTCCTTGCTAGTAACTGGAGTTCTTAGAGATGTGGCATTTATACATACGTTTCATAGGCACACACAGTATAGGGCTCTGCAGTTGAGAGGGAACTGGGGAGCAAAAAGTCCACACTTTCCTTTAGTCCCTTGATGTAGGGGAAGCAGAAGGGAGGCAGTGTTATGGATAATGCTAACAGCAGAAATTCCTTGTGAATGCACAATGAGGATGCTTATATGGACAGTACAGCTCAAAACTCCAGTTACTTGTACTTGTTACTCTTTTCCTACCCTTGACCTGTAGACTTAACGCACAGTTTCTTCCTTTCACTGCTAAGAAACAAAGTAGTTAATGTTTTCATTTAAAATGCAATTTGGCTTTGTAACTCTCATCCCAGTGAGGTTAATGGTGAGCCGTCAGTTCATTTTGTTGAGGGCTCAGACAAAGACGTGATCGCACTGATGTAAACTAGGAGCAAACACAAAATGTCAGCCCCTGCACCAATGTCACCTGGTAAAATTTTTACTTCAGGAAAAAAGAAGTTAAAATATACTGGTGTAGATGTTTTGGTTGTCATGTGTTTGCAGTTGCCTGCAGGTAGCTGTTTGCTCGGTGCAAACAGACTATAGATGCTGCTCAGTCATGGTCATGGCAAGGTGCAGTAATTATAGGTACCCTGGGAAAACTGGTTGTCTTTCTGGTCCAGATCCCAGGGTAATTTACATTAGTACACAAAAAGTATACCTGTGTTTAACACGTTATGTGCACAGGCTCAGAGTCATTGTTTCAACTGGTCTGCAGCCTGGAGCGTTGGTCTAATAAAAGATATCAAATTCACCCAAGGAACCTTGTCTGCCTATGCCCTTAGACCAACATGGCTACAACCTACACCCCTGACACTGCATTGGTTACTCTGTTCACATTTGAACAGTTTTTGTTGCAAGGCCAGATTCTGAGCTGTGTTTTACGCACTTCACAAATGCATAATACATGCTAGCCCCAGCCATGGGCCTTACTTAACACTTCTGTGGCACTTATCACCTGTAGTATCTGAATACTTCAAGCCTTTTAATGTGCTTTTGACACTTTTGATCTTATATATTGGCTGATACTTTTGTTGACTGTCATGGCGGGGCGAAGATGCTTTCCAGGGTAGTGTTTGGCTGATAAGTGCTGTAGCTAACAATAAGGCAGGAGTTAAGTGCCACTGAAAAAAATGGAAAGATTATTTAGGCAGTTCATTAGAGGTGCTGACGGTTGAATATTTACGTACATGTTTGTCATTCAGACTGTCATTTAAGGCCTAATTCTGCTTTTTAAAATGTGTAAGTTATTTCTGTTGACTTTGATGTAAAGTGTGTGAATACACCTGCATGTAGGATTTGGCCTGAGTCATTACAAACTGACTAAGATTTTAGATTAACCCTGTTCAAATTGACCAGGCTATTATTGGACACGGAGAGACTGAAAAATATGGATAATATTTTTTGGGTAGAAACAGAAAAGCAACATTAAGTAGAATGGCAGATTTGGTAAAATGCAAAACTTTGCTCTGTAAATGTCATGCATGCAAGTTTATCCTATATATATATTTATTTATTTATTTAAAGTCTTCCTTTTTTCTGTGTACCTTTTGTTTTCTCTAGTTATCAAACTTCTGTTAGCAAAACTTGAGGGAGAAATATTCCAAGCTGAAAAGTCCCTGCTTCAAGCAGCAGCTTCTTTCCCATTATATGGGAGAGTACATTGTATAACTGGAGCTTTGCAGCAGCTACCTTTAACGTAAGTAAAATATGCTAACTGAAGTCTGATTACGTGTAGTTAAGATGGTGTGAAGAGCTGTTTAAAAGAACATGAAAGCACGCCATGTAATTTATCATCAACTCAGTTTATAGTGCTGATTGTCTTCAACGACTCTTTATTATAGACCTATTCAATTCACTTCTTTCATTTGAGCTAAATTCATAATAGTCTTCAATTTGTGGAACAGTCAGTTTAAAAATGCAGCTGTCATAATTATTTAATTTTAAAACGTTTTTTAAATATAACATTTATATTCCTTGATTGTATTTTTTAAAGTAACTTGACATTGATGACAGAGTGGAAGCAGATGGTGACAGATCTTATTTTGATGTCCTACAAACTCTCTACTGTGGTAGCTCCTGTTGTGCAGAGTTCATCACCCGAGGGTCTTATTCCAATGGACACAGATTCAGGTAAAATAAGTCTATTTTTAGCAATGATTTTGAGATTGCCATAATGTTAAGTAACATAACTTTTGAAAACTATAGTAAATCTGAGGTTATAAGCAGTATTATAAATTGCTTAGCAAATCAGGTGTCTGTCACATGTTTCTTATTTTAAAAAACTAGAATTTAGAATTCTTTAAAATGAGACAGTATTGTTGTTCTGATCCTACCAGTCAGGGGTCTTTCGGCAAGTAGCTACAATTGAACCCAGAGCTGAGCTTTGTCTTGACTTTATATCCTCTTCCCTTTGACAAATATCCTAATACTATCAAAATTGCCATACAGGGATATGTGGTCTAAGAGACTCTACCCTGCAATATGAGTGTTTCCATTTTCTTTAAGGGGAAATTATAGTAGGTTAAGTCCATGCTCCCAGATTTCAGCACCCCACACCACCAAATATATTTTGCTATCGGATGTTTTTGATTTACTCATATATATGTCTTTGCACTAAGCTTCTCAAGTCAATGTCCTGGTAGGGAACTACAAGCACTCTGAATTGTTTGTAGTATGTGGACCATATTCTACTCCATGATAATCCTACTGATTTCTAACCAAGTTACTTTTGTGTATGGTGGATGTAACATTGTGTGTTAGTCACATGAGTTTAATACTGCACAGCAGCAGCAAACAGTAACTGCTTCTATTTTAAATGTTTTTGGAGACTCACTTGATTTTTTTTTTCTTTGAGTTCTGTTTCATTTAATACCAGAATCTTAAATTGCTATCTGACTTTGGATAAAGATTGTTTCCTTGCACTGTCCTATGTAGAAATCTGTTGGAGCATTAATACAAATTAAAGGGTCAGAAGGAAGAAACTGCCTTTTCCTAATAAAGCCTGATTTATTAGATTTGTTTGGGTTTTTTTCCTGCTAACACTTCTATTTAGCAGTGTACCCAGAAGAAGTTTTGTGTATGTGAAAGAAATGGAGAAAAGAGTTCTGAATAATTGGATTTAAATATTCCCTTATTTAATACTTAGAAATTGCGGATCGTTTGCAGATGATTCTGCATGAGATACAACCCCGTGATACAAATTATTATTTTACTCGAGCAAAAATTCTGAAAGAAAGTTGCGGAACAGACTTGGAAAAACTTGTGGATGACAAGCCAGTTGATGTTTCTGAAGATATGAGAGGTAATTCAAATGCTCCTTTTTAAATTAGCATCAGAATATTTACTTCAACACGTTTTTTAATTTAAGTGCTTATTAAAGTTGGAAGTTATTTGCTATGTTTAATATTTAACTTATAATGACAGTTCTGTCAGAAGCTTGTTGTTCACACGTGTGATTTTAAAAGCTGATTTATATGTGGTTAATTTTTCCTAGTCCACCAGTGAAAAGGAGTCATTTGGTATTAATCTAGTCTCTGTCTTGGGTATACTAGCCAGGTGATCTTAAATACCTTTGAATCAAGTTAACCTTATAATATGTTTCTTGCTGCAGAGTGGTTGTATGGCTTTCAATCCAGAGTTATGTAAAACTTGTGAGGTATTTTTTTGTGTGAAAAAAAATGTAGTAAAAGCCAGTTCACTAAGTGACGCGTAGTAAGCAGCCTCTGCTTGGAGTCAATTGATAACATTTTAGGGGATGTTGTGAGGCAGTATTGTGTTGTCTAGCATTTGCCTGAGGTAGCAAAAGATAGTTGCAGATAAAAATGCAGTTATCCTGTGTTGCTGTTCGAATGGTAAGTTAGTATGTTCATTAAAGGAAACTTCTGTTTATAATGTCCAGTTTCAAATTTACAAGATGATCTACAGATTAAAAAAAAATTTTGTGAACTTTATTGGCTCACTTATCTCTAGTTTAAATCCTATGTTTGGGCCCATGTTTTTTATTTCATGTAAATGGGCTTATAAATATAGTGTTCTGGATTCTTAATGTAGCTCATTTGATGGCCGCTAGGTGAGGCTGTTGCATCATCATCAATTCATGCTTGTGAATGATCTCAACATTTTTGAAGTCTTGGTTAAAAACAAATAAGATGTGGTGAATGACATGTCTCTAAATGATATTTGAACTAATTCCAACACAAAGTAAAATGTTTTTCCTTTAATCCTGAGGTTTTAGTTATTTGTGAAACTTTATTAACAATTGCTTTTCAGTTGTTATTAGTAATTCATTGTCAATTGCTTCATTGACCAAAGCAGTGGACTTCTGCCCTTTGAAACATCATACTTGTTCCTTAGAAAATTGTATATTGTTGGGCTTTTGAAGCAGAATAATATGCTACAGGTGTCTTCAAGATGGAAGTATTTAGGCTAAAGAAGAATGAGTGCACTTGTTTAGCCTGAGAATTTGGTTTAAAATATTGTGGATATGAATTTTTTTTTTTTTTTTTTACAAAAATCAAGATTAAATTAAGACTCAAAAAATAGAATTATAGTAAAAAATGAATGTGATGTCATAACTCCATTACTCCCTATTACATTACATTACATTACATTGTACTTTGTATTACATTACAAACTGCTATGGAGTTTGTTTTTAAAGGTAAAGAGCAAACATGTGATGTAACAGCTCAGATGGTATTGGTATGTTGCTGGAGAAGCATGAAGGAGGTGTCATTACTTTTAGGGATGCTGTGTAAACTTTTGCCTTTAAAGACTACATCAGAATCATCAGATGGATTGATAACAGAAGAACAGGTAGGAACACTTTTTTTTTTTTTGTTGCTATAAAATCATTACCTTTTAGAAACGGTTACTAAATTTACTAAATTTTCCCAGAAGAGGGAAAGTATGGAAATATTGTATTAATTCATTTACCATTTACTGTGGTGTCAGTAGAACTTTCTATTTTTTTTTTTAGCTAAAGTAATGTAAATTCTTTTATTTTCAATATTTATTTTCAACAAATTGGTATACTGGAGTAATCAAAACAAAGAAAGTAAGTCATATGTAACTAATATTCTGATAGCAGAAACCCATGAAACATTAACCTAATTTAGTAGTATTAGCACCTTTAGCATGCGTAGGCTTCTTGGATGAAATTCCAGCCATTGGGGGTTAGTTCTGTGTATATCAGTTTGGAAGTATGAATGCTGATTCAGTGCTTCTGGACTCAGTCCAGTTTTTTTGTTTCCACTTTGAAACCAGGAACTTTTGACTTTGGTTAAAACTGTTCTTTTTTTTTTTTTTTTTCTTTTTTAAGACTCAATATTCAGTAATTCTGGGGAGTGAAATATATTGTTTTTTCTACATATGTTTTCTATAATACGGTTGATAAAGTTACAGATATTTTGTGTGTGTTTGACTACTTTGCCTAATTTTTATATTTAACTACCACAAAAGTCAGTGCCCTGTCTGGGACTGTTCAAGAGAGACTTGAGTATAATTTGCAAGAAATTAGTTTACCACAAGCATTTAATTTGGGAATATTTTGTATTTATTGGACTTCTGTTTTTAATTGATCTTTTTGTTTCATTGTGCTTTGAACAAAACCAGTTTTCCAGCATATAGGACTGAAATATGCAGCATGTATTTTGGGTTTAACCTTTTTCAAATAAATATTTTTTTTTTCCTAAGGGGTTGCAACATTCTAGGACAAAATAAATAACAGTATAATATGCTGCTGATCTGATTTTCTTACGGTATCTCATGCAGTGCCTTGGAAGTAACGCTGATATTTTTATTCATGCATTGTCTTTTTTTCAGCTGGTTAACAGCTGTGCTTGCACTGTTGCAAAGCTGCGCAGTGTAGATGTTAGAACATCAATATGCCTTCACAATCATGTTCCTTAATCTGCTCCAAATCAAACAGGAATTGGTATTTTAGTATTACAGTCAACCCTGATACTAGTACCTTGTTCCCACTTGAAAATGAGGCCACTCTAATAGACTGCTAATAAACTTTTGTTAACTGTTGTTGTCTCTCTCATTCTTGTGTAGCAGAATATAACATCTTTATATGGAGAGGAATAAAGTGAGTTTCAGTCAGATATTCAAACGGTGAACTCTGTTTTCCATAAAACCAGCAGGCAGATAAATCTATGCAGACTGTTTGTTTGACTGTGCATCTATAAATAATCTATATAGTTGTGTTTTGCAGGTAGAAAAGTGAACCTTAAAGGTTACAGTCTTAAAGATTGAGTTTCACAGTAGTAGTAAACTGAGGGTGAAATTTTACTTCAGTAGTTTAACTGTTTCAGTATGTTTTGTCTGTAGGAAGACATCAAGCCATTTGCATCTCAATGCATTTTCTTTTTTGTAGGTGTCTTTTTTTTAGTTTAACAATGTTTATCCATATTTATATAATTACTTTCAATTGAAAATGTGACCGTAATCCCACCCCTTTTTTTTAAAGGGAGTTGAATCCACGGGTTGTACTGAGGGCTTGATCCAGAGCCCTGTGATGAAGATAGTTCTCCCAGTTTCCATCTATGCCCCACTCCCTTATGTGAAAATGAGGACGCATGAGCTGCAGTAGATACCCCTTTGAGAAACGTTTACTAAGTTGGCCTGCCTCTTGGTGCGTGTGGGAGAAGGTTGTCTGGGTAGTAACTCCTGTGGGCTTAGAAAGGTTGTTTGTGTTCTTTTGCATGCTGGGCTACTTCTGTGAGCTCATGCTGAGTGATCACTAGTATAGATCCATGTTATGTACTCTTCCTCTCTGATAGGGCGGGCCCTTGCTACATACAAAGAGAAGGTATACAAAGAGAGTAAGGCATGGTGTGTCCTTAGAGCAGGGGTATCCAACCTTTTTGAATGTAGGGCTGGATCACGAACTTTTTATCACCCAGTGGGCTGATGAGCCATATTCAAAGACGTCACAGGAAGTAGTATCATATCAGGAAGTGATGTCACGTGACCTTTGACACCAATGAAGTTGCAGGGGTTGACATGGTGCTGGTTGACATGGCATGCATGCCCCGGTTGACACGGTGCTGCAGGAGCTGCTTGGCTACAACCGGGTTGACCTGGTGCTGGAGAAGCTGCCGGGCCAGGCTGGGGTTAACTTGGGGCTGCCCGGCCTGCCAG